CTTTTATTGCCTCTGACACTGCATATATCTTTCAAATAGTAACTAGAACTACTTGTACGTTCAGAAGCTTAAAAAGTCTCACATGTTCTGGCCTAATTGAGAAATGGCATTGACCCTGATACTAAAAGGACACTGAAAATGGCAAATGCCAGGCAATAGTGATTTATACAGAACCACAGAAGTAGGTGGCAAAGATCTATTCAGTCCTGCAGTCCCTTCCCCCACTGCAGGACAGCACTGTATAGTATACCAGTGGTTGTGTAACTTCCTAAAGCCACAGAACCTTTCAAGTCACTTCTGCTGCTGCAGAACCCCTGCCCGTGGCGCTGTGGGCCCTGTAAGCTGACATGGAGCCAGGCGGTCTGGCCTGGTAGTGGTGGGGCACTGCATCCTGGCTTCCTGCTCTGCCATTACCCCCAGTCTCTTTGCAGAACCCCTGATGACCTGTCGTGGAACCCCAGGGTGTTGTGCAATGCAGATTGAAAACCGCTGGTGTATACAGTCTAATGTCTTGCCCAGTTCTGCTCTAACAATTGGGTTTCTGTAGTTTTTTACCTTATTGCCAGGAAACAGCTAGCTTGGCATCAGGGACAGTGGTTCAGGTAGCCTGAAAGGGAAAGGGGAGGCCACCAATCAGTACGTCGATGATACTGCTGGGTTGGGGGGCTGGTGGTGATAAACTGTCAGAATGAATAGGTTGAAAAGGCTTTGCTTCTAAGGCTGCTGCCACCCTTGGAAAGTCCTGCTTTGCTTCACCCAGTGGATTTGACTGGGGAGAAGGACACCCCTGGGGCCCTTGAGCAAGGTCCTTTCTTGAATCTGAGGTTTGAGACCATGGGCCTTTTTGCTATTTGTGCCATCTGCCTTCTGTGCCTTTTGTTAACTCATACAAAAAACTAGAACTCTTGCTTCCAAAATGAAACCTTTGATTAGACCAACTGGAAAATGGCAAGAAAATTGTCCTTTTCTGCAAGCTTTCGGGATCAAAGTCCCTTCGTCAGGCTCTGGGAAAGTGTAGATGGTACAAGATGGTACAAAGCCCTCATAGGCAGGAAATAAACTTCATTTTTGCACAGAGGGAGCTGAAGATGGAAGGCTGTCCCTCTGGGTCCATGGAAGTGTCTTTGTGACCTGTGTTGAGTAGCTCTTTGATGTGTTGATCAGGTAGAATTCCTTCCCTGGAGCTGTCAGATGGCAGGCAGGGAGGTAAAAAGTCTTTCTTGTTGTTCTGCAATGAAGTTTCAAATCCAGAATTGGCTAAAATTCAGCATCTTCCATGTTTCAGGGGTGTACTTTTGTTAACTCATGCATTTCAGGGCCAGTATTCAGTTAGCAGGCTTGCTTTATGCCTAAAATGCCTGCACAGTGCTGCCTTCCATTTTAGATTTCTAAAACTCTTGCATGTTAAATTATTTGCTAGTAGAAGTACACAGAATCCCTTAAATCCTGGACTGGTCCCTTTTTTCACTGTCCTCATTTGGGAGGCACTTGGCCATTTTTTACCACCTTAGCTCTTGTTACATAAATGGTTGCTCATGTGTATTATCACCAGGGATCCTGGTTTTCTCTGATTTAAAAAAAAATCCCCAATTTTCAGGACGTAACCCCAAATCCACATTTTTCTGTGTTTAAAATGAAGCATCCCTCTCCCCCTCTCCCTCTGTCTTTCTGTTTCACTTTAATCACAGAAAAATGTGGATTTGGGGTTACATCTTTTTAAACCTAAGATGGGATTTTTTTAAATCAGAGAAAACCAGGATCCCTGATTATCACTCCATGGCACAAATATTTATCAGCTCCTAGCACTGGGTGAGGCAGGATTCTGTATGGCCGTACAGTCCATCTTCTTTGTGTGCTCTTTCTCTTTGTAACCTGACTGTATAGCTTTAAGTGCCTCGTTATGTAAAAAGGAAGCTAGTGCTGTCTGTATCTTACCAGGAAATGTACTTGCACAATTAGCCAAGCCACAGAACAATCAATCTTTCATAGCATGAAAATGTTTGTTTTACACAGTAAATACTGTCAGCGCTGTTGCAACAAAACAAGGGTTGGGCTGTTCTCAAAAGTGTCCCCAGTAAAATGTTTGTGTAACCGACCCTCGTGCTGACTGATCTAGTGCAGAAGCCCTTATGAAATTGCAGATGGCAGATAGAGGAGGCTCCTTGCCAGGCATGAATGCAGTGTGTTGCGTTGTTTAGATCTGGAGCTGTTGTTTCCGTAGCATGAACTTTACAGAAGTACAGTATTACAAATCATCTACTTGCTGAAGCCAATTTCAGCCCTTTTCAAGTTGGTTTGTTTCTCATTCTCTCATTTGTGCCCTCAGCTTCTTTCTCTCTTGTGAGTTACTGAAAAAGTTGAAACAAAAAAATTCAGAGCTTCCAAGGAACTTCTTGCTTTTGCATGCTATTGCTTAATCATTTTATGTTTTTATTGTAGAATGTTTGGGCAAATATTCCCTATAAGCCTTTCAGACTTTTCTTCCACAATGGTTGTCTGAATATCATGGCTTGGAACCAGGTTGCTCCGCTGTTTAACATGATCAGTCAGTGGCAACCAAGGCTAGCAGAGTCTAAATATTATATATATTTTTTCTTTTTTTATACTAGAGTAAGGCTAAAAGAAGAAAAACACTTTTTCTGTTAATAGAATCCTATATTGTCTTTCTGCTGCGACTGCTGCTACCAGCTCTTTTGGAACATGGAGAGCTTCATGCTCAGCCTCTCCTTTTGCTTGTCTGTCTGTTGAAACTGTAGATTCATATGTTTAAAACATTGACCCCTGTTACCCGATTAAAACATTGACATTTAAAACATGGACCACGATGACCTGCAGCATTACCAATTCAGCATGATATTGATCCAGTTCCACAACATGGAAGGGAAGATGTGGGAGGGAGAGGTGCATCTCTGAAGCATCAGTACAAAAGATGGACCAGGCCGTGGTGTTTTGGAACGTTATTAGCATCAGACTACAGTGTGGGTCTGTTTGTCCTGGGGCTAATGGTTTGGTTTTGGCTTGGGTTGAATGGTATGAATTTTAGTGGATTATTCTTTGAGATTTCAGTCTAAAATGATGGTAATAGCATCTGGTTTGCACATCTGAATTATTATATTAGGGACATAAGTCCGTCTTTCTGCTTTTTAGAAGTGAACCCCACACATAATCATGGGACCAGATTTGAATTTTGAACCTAAATTTTCCGTGTCATTCGTGAAATTTTGAATCTTTGAAGCTCTCATCTGAATCCATTTTATAGTAATTTAAATTACAGATAAAGAAACAGAGAAAAATCCTGGACAGATGATTTTTAGAAAATGTATTGCATCAAGCTTTCCCCAGTACAATGTTCTGTCTTTTAACAAAATACAGTAACGCCTGACTGGAACTGGTCTGTGCCAATTTAGCCCAGTGTCAAAGGACTCAAATTCAGCCTTGAAATATGTATCACTAGTTATGCCTCAAATTATTTCTATGTATTTTCTCCCCTAAGAGGAAAAATGAGTTCAGCTAACCACACAAAATGGTATATTGTTATGTATTCTCTTGAATTATTGGCAATCTGCCTCACCATGTCCGATTCACTTTAATTAAGAATCTCCTTTCCATGACTGTTACACAGCTTTAAGATTCAGACTTTTTTCTCTATATTGATTTTGCTGGCTTAAGGGAATTGTGGCAGTTTAAAATATTTGTGTATGGATTGCTGTAATTTGCATTAATCTCTGCTGGCTTGAAGATTGTTATGTAAGGTGTATAAATGGGTATGGTTATTTCTTATTTTTTCTATGCATTTGGAAATGTATTGTTTAGAAAGTGGACCCTTTTACTTTTGTGCACCTAGGTGGTTTATATACAGTTCTTTGTATGTGCTTTGCCATCTTATGCTTTCTCCTGCTTGGTTTCTGTTTTTGTTTTTTGCTTTATGCTGCTAGTAATTAGGATAGCAACAAGTTACTGGGGGAGAACAGAGAATGGGCTCAGGTGGTTCATTTTTTTGCTTTTCTGTCTGGCTGCCATCTTTGCAATTCTTTCCTCTGGAACTACTCCTCTATTTTGTTTCTAGTACTTGAGAAATTCAGACTGTCAGTAGCAAGGGATAGTACATTTGGTACCCCCTGATTAGCACAAGAAGCTGGAAAATAAATTAAATGCCAAGGAATTATAATGTGGCTTTTGACACTGAAGAAGAGGCAGTAGGTTGAATTCCAGTTGAATCGCCAGCAGTACTACATAACAGTTAAGGACAGGTAGGATGCCTTTCTAGTGCCACCATGGGACAATTTTCTGGGTGAAACAAGTATTGTTGAATCATTACACCAGTCTGGGATCACAGGTACCAAGCTTTTCAAATGAGATGCAAGGAAATAGTGGTGGCTGTATCGGTTTCCAAGGCTACTTAGGGACAAATGTCCATGGTACTTGGAAACAGTGTCTAGATGGTAAACTTACCATTTCTGGTAGTGCTGTCTGGCAGCCTGCTTCCTGAGTCAGGAACAGTGCAGCTATGTCTACCCGGGCAGGCTAATTGGCATTAACTCTCAGCAAGGTTCATTAGTCCACTCCAACCACCATGTGGAAGTAGCTGCACTGTTTCTAATTGAGGAGGCAGTCTGTGTAGAGTGGCACTATGGTGGTTAATGGCAAGATTATGCTATGGACATAACCATTGCCACAAAACATTTGTAGCACTTATTAGAACCGGGCTGCAGGCCCTGTTTTTCTTTCTTTATTCTGACATGGCTAGTTGCACATTCTCTTCTAAACTTTTCTGGGTGGAATTGTATACAGCTGTTCTTCCTTGCAGAAGTGAACCTGTTATGTAGTGCTGCTTTTGCTTTCTACCCTGCAAGTGGCTGCATTTTGGTTGGACCTGAAGAAATGTAAACCCTTTCGCTGTATGTAGATAGTTTGCAGCATGCTTAATGTTAGCAAAGGTGCTTTGTAAATCAGTTGTGAACAACAACAAATATTTATGAATGGTTTCCTTTTTTCCTCAGCTTCCATTTGAGATGGAGATTTATTACATCCAGCACGTGATGCTTTATGTTGTGCCCATCTATCTTCTGCGGAAAGGAGGTAGGTTAGCAATTGGTGTTTAATATATGCAAAATTAATTTTAATTAATAAGTACAGTGTGTTCTGTTGTGGGTATCAGCTTTTCCTTTATAAGTTTTACACATTATTGTCCTATCAGTGTCGTGGTAGAACCAAGGAGGTGCAGTCGTGGATGAGGCCATCGTGCGTTAGACACAAGCTGTGTTAGGTACTGTACAAACAGAACAGATTCTTTACCTTTTATTTCCATGATTAAGATAGATAGTGGCTCACTGTGTCTGAGAATCCTGCCATAAAAAAATCCACTAGTTGTTTCTGATGTTACTCTTTCCATTAATGTGCTGAGAAGGTTATATAACACACAACCATGAATATGGTGCTGTTCCACTCTGTTTAGGGACCTGCTTCTAACCTAGCAATGGATTAACTCAGACAGTAGAACCTCATATTAAATCCCAGAGGCCTCAGATTCAGTCTCTGCTGACAACTCCCAGAGAGAGAAAATATTAGAGCATAGGCAGATTAATGCATGGGCCAGCTGGCCCCTGCCTCGCCATGGATGAAACCAGCAGCCGGGCTGGGCGCATGCAATGTGGCGGGCTGTGGTTGCCGGGCACCACTGCTCTGGACTGAGCCACGGTGGGGCGAGCGGCCGCCCCGGAGCTTGGTCTGCATCACGTGCCCTGCAGGCAGCAGCTCTACACCCCTGGTGCCATCTCCAGCGTGGACCTGTGGGCAGGAGCAGCCGCTGTGGGCTGGGGGTGCGGAGCAACCTGCTCTGGCCACTGCTTCAGCTGCACCAGCCAGGGATGGAGCCCGTGGCTGCTGGGCAGGGCGTGGGTTACGGGGAGGAGTGGGCCCCGGGCCCCAGTGAATCTTAATCCACCCCTGCCTTACAGACTAAGTGGTTCAGAGAGGCATAAGTTTTTTGCAGGCATCACCTTACTTCATGAGATGTCAGAAGTGTGATATTACAATTTATGACAGTAGGATGCAGTCCAGTATTTGCCTAGAGAGGGGGCTCAAACCCCAGCCCATGGGCCAGATCTGACCCCTTGCGTTGTCACATGGCCCATAGAGTTTCCCACAGGCCCAGAAATTTGGCAGCAAGGGAGCTGTGTTTTGTGGTTTTAATCACAAATGGTCTAAATAATAATGAACGTTCCAGATGAGTTTAATCTGCTGTACTAGCTGCAAGTTTGATAGTGCTGCTTATCAGTATTTAAAATATAGCAGTTGTTCTAAAAAAGCTAAATTGGGAGCGTCGCAAACTGCTAATTAGTGCAAGATGTGGTGTTAACAGCTGCTTAATACTTTGTATATCACTGGCTAAATGTAATTCTGGCAGTATTTCTGAACCACTAGTGTCTTGAGCTCGTTAGAAATCCTGGCAGATAATGTAGCCTGCTTAGAGTACATGAGATTCTGCATGTAGTTTTTAGGCATTGCCGTAGGAAGTCTCAAGGGCTCCCATTTTTACTGCCTTGAATTCTGGAATAAAGATTAGGTCACTTGTACTGGTGCATGCTCCAGATGGGTCCGGCAGAGGGAAACGGAAAGAGTCAGTGTAGTTCAGCAGCTTCATCGCAGCTCCCCCTCCCTCCCCCCAGTGGCGTTGGTCTAGCTCTGCCCTCAATCCGTTTACAGCTGTCTGCTGCCATCTAATGTTGGCGCGAAAGCAGTGAACTTTGATGCTTCCTGTGGACTAACAGACATCTGCTGTGATTGCCCTTGGCTGACAACCATAGTCAGGCACTTCTAGCTAGTGTTGCAGTTGGTGTCTGTTCCCTGACCAGTTAATACCTTGTTAATAATGTGTAAACTTGTGTAGTACTTGTGGCCAGTGTCACTGGAGACAGCTGTACTATAACTAGTACTGAAAAAATGTCAGTTCTTTGCTGATTTGAAGTGGTTCTGTCCAAAGGGATTATTTTCTGTTGCCATTCTGCCTGTCTCACGGCATCTGGTTCAAAAATGTTAACTCAGTCTTGTGTGGACTGTTTTAACATCATTGACCTCTACCAGCATAGGGTGGTATGGATAGAGATGACTGCGTATTTGGGATATAAACTTTCATCAGTGAGTCTACGGATTATGATCTGCAAAAGTGATTGAAAGCACAAAGGCTGAGGAGAGGAAAATGGATTGTGTGTATACAGTGCAAGGGTACTTCATTGTACTGGGGTGCGTGCTACTATGGTACCTTCTGACTTGAGAGGGTAGAGTTTCGCCTCTAGTGAAGTCTAGCTCATTCCCCAAAAGCCATGTACCTGTACCTTGAGTTTTATTTTAGGCCACTTTCTGGTAGACAGATAAAAAGATCATTTGAAATATTATGGCACTGACCCAAGCTGCCACCCATACCAGACTGGCCAGAGCTCAAACTCAACTACCTGTTGAAGTCGTCCTTCCAGGACCAGAGCTGTGCACCGCAGCTACATGGGCTGAACCTGTCTGTGATGGTGTAACCGCAACACTCTAGTTTTTAGTGCTGTTGGTTTGAAACTCTTAAAAATGCATCCTTTTAGCAATGTAGAAATCATGTTTTGGTTTTTTTTCTCTAGTCTCTCCTTGATATCCCAAATGGGTAAAATCAGGTAGGGCAGCACCAGAAGCATCAGCTTTCTGTGTTTCCTAGTTGATGTTGAGGCCCTGCTATGCTCTGGTTAGGTTCAGGTGCCTGGTATTCATGTTTCTGTGCTGCAGTGAACAGTGTAAGCTGCCGTATCCTGGCTGAGCTGTCTCTGTGCTGACCTAACATTTATCTCGGGGAAACCTGAGATATTATTCTCTTCCCTTCTTCCTTTTAGATGCACCATGTGGACCAATATATTTTATTTCCCTCCTTAATCTTTACTTACCTTTCCAGGCCTACAGAGTGAACACAGTACATGTTCTTTTCCAGCATCGTAGAGTCTTAGTAAAGGTAGAAAAGATCTCACGCCATGGATCAGACCAACCTTTGTTCTGTTTGTAACTACATTATGACTGGTGGTGCAAAGCAGGTGCAGTGTTGACTTAAGTGGCCAACACAGGAGACCAGCATTGCAGGAGAATTCACAGGGAAAGTAGAGCTGCAGTCTTTTATTGGTCCTACCTTAACCCCCAACCTCAGAGCGTTTTCCATGTCCCATTAATTCCTGGTTGCTAGAAGGAGCCCCTATTTAGCTGGAGATAAAGTATCTAAACTGAGGTAACTCTGGCTTATAGCAACAGCTATGGTATGAAGGAGAGGCATAAAAACTGTGGTATAAAGCCACTGTGCTGCATCCCTATTCCCTGAGGAATGGCTTTGATGACAGAGTTGGAGTCACAATTTTGGATTTAAGAGCCAGGATCTGATTTAAGTAGATGTCAGAGACTCCTGTTTTGCATGACCAGGGCTAGGTACAGATAGTCAAAAAGCCCAAGGGTAAATCAATTCAGACTTCTCAGGTTAGTCTAAGCTGCATAGATTGAACCAGTAAACAAGCAAACAGACATTCGCCTTTGATTCCAGAAATGCAGCCACATGCTTGCAGTGGCCCAGCCAGAAGCTGAGGAGTGCGAGAGCATACCTCCCTGCTCAGCTGGAGCAGACAGCTTGGCCCACCTTACAAGGAGGAGGGGAGGGAGCAAAGCAACCTGAGATGCTAGGAGACTGAATTAATGTGAATCTGGAGGGGATCTGGGACAGAAGTTCAGTAAACTAATTTAACCTAAATCAGTTAAGTCTGATACTACATCCATCCAGGCTTATCTTAAACTAGTTTCTGCCATTTTGAAAGAGGTTTATGTGCAGTGAACTTCTGTTGTGTTACTGATTTGAACCCATTTCTGAACACTTATACTGGGTTATGTATAATTTCTGTCCCTAGCCCAGGTGTCCAAGATGGAAAAAAAAAAATTGCTTGCTGTGAAATACTGCTGAAAATGATTACAAACCATCATTGGCGATGCGTAGGGGGTGCTCGCGGGTGCACATGTACCCCCTGACATTGGCAGTGCACCCCCTGAAAGGAGCACCACTGACCCTGCTGGCAGCACCTGCAGGCAGTCATCGCTCGCCACCTCCCCCCTTGCTGACAATGTTGCCAGTGGCATCTGCAGGTGGTCGCCGACCACTGGTTGGTGTTCGCCACCCTCCCCCCCATGGCCACCTGTGGGAGCTCCCTGTTTGCTACTGCCACACCTCCACTGCTGCTGCCTCCGCCACTTGTGGGCAGTTGCCATGCGTCCCCAGTCTTCGGGGGCACACGTTCATGCAAACCATTGTAGTTTACACCAGAATGCCATTGTTGCCTTCAGTGGCTGGATCCAGATATGCAGGCATGTGTGGCTTGTGGTGCCACAGGTCTCTTTGTGGTGCTATAAACTGCATGCCTGGCACATTACATGTACCCCACACTGCAGATTTGCAGCAAGGGCAAAATTTGCTACTGGAAAATTCCGGTAGCAAACCCCCTCCTTCCCTCCCCCCCCGCCAAAAAAAAAGCAAAAAAAAAAAAAGGGGGGGGGCATGGCACATGCCACAGAAGCGTGTGCTGGTGCATGTGGAGACTTGGTTCTCCCTTCCTTCAGTTTTTCTTTGGCTCCTCCAGCACACTGGGAGACGGGAGAAGTGGGGAAAAGACAGTTTGCCCCAAATGGGGCATTTTGTCTTGCACCAAAGCACACATGCAGGGGCATGCACAGCAGCAAAAAGTTGTGGCACAAAGTTGCCCCTGCATGTGGGGATGCACCCAGTAAGACCTCTGACTAAAATCTAATCATAGCCTATGCTCTGCTTGGTAAACATGCTAGCGGTCAGCTATTTTGAGAGCTGTTTTCTACCCAATTCCCAATGTGGTTTCAGACCACTAAGATACAATAGATATGATCTTTGTTGCTAGACAGCTGCAGAAGTACTGCGAGCAACACCAAGATCTTGCATGGCCTTCATTGACCTATGGCCTTTACTTCAATCAGAGGCCCTATGTAATATTCTCGTGAGATTTTGGATGCCCAACAAAATTTGTTACCATTATCAGAATCCTTCATGA